AGAGAGAGAGAGAGAGAGAGAGAGAGAGAGAGAGAGAGAGAGAGAGAGAGAGAGAGCTTGCTCCTGTAATTAAATTGTGAAAACTATAGAGAAATATGCCATTCTCACCACCAAGTCTTGCTCTTCTGGGAGTGTCTATCCTCTCACTTTCTTACCTGCTCTGTCTCAGTGTCAGCAAAGCCACATGGCACCCAACAATTGACTGACAAGTGCCATCAAGTTTGTGTGATTTGGGGTAGCATACTGCAAGCCCCTGTGACATGTTGTTTATCTAGGGGCTGTCAGGCCTCAGCATGTGTTCTTGCCCAGCATGAATTTCCTATAACCATTGGTTGAACACATGCTTTTTCTCTGTTAAAGTCAATATTGGAAAATTCTGCTAATATTGGCTCAATCTCTATGCAGTTTTTGCCTCCAAGACAAAGAAAAGAAGCATCTCTATGTTCTCTAGCTACATGCATAACCCTGCATAGATTTTATTTGCAAATGTTTCTAGAAAGAGGTACAAACAATGAACGTTACCTGGAAGCATTTTCTCATCCATGTTCTAGTTCCAGGCATGATTGTAGACCTGGGCTGGAGGGAAGAGTCTCTAGCTTTGCCCCACAGGACAGCCAGGTCTGAGGGAGAAGCCAGTGCTGTGTTTAGCACCAGTGGCAGGCAATGACTAAAGTCAGCCCTCCTTCCCCTCAGGCTCCACATCTGTAGATTCTCCCGATCTTAGATCTAAAATATTTTGAAGAAAATTGTCTTCGTTGAACATGCAAAGAATGTCTTTTTTATCATCCCACAATCAATACGGTTTGATTAAATGTTACAAATGGCCATCGTACTAAATATTATAATCTGGAGATGATTTAAAGTATCAAGGATGATGGGCATAGGTTATCTATAGCGCAGAACACCACACTGTTCTATACAAGGGACTTGAGCAGCTGTAGATTTGGGGGTCTATGGGGCTGGAATGACCCCCACACACAGATACAGAGGGATGACCATGCATAGAATCAGGAAATTGGAGATATGGAGATTCTTATTGGAATTGGAAGTTGGGGTTTCCTGTGGCTGGTGATGCTTGACTAAGAATTGAGTTGTTCAGGATCAACGATCCCCAAGACAGGGAAGGCTGGGAACAGCATACCGAAAACCAGAGCTTGTGGAGGAGGTGGTGAAAACAAATCAAGGGATTTGTACAATCTGAGGTTCTGAGAGTTATCATTGTCATTTTGCATCCCTCCAATGATCCATTGTGTCAAACACTGGGCACCACAAGGAAGTCTAGCAGATTGATAACCCACTACTGCCTTGTGCTCCAACAAGAACACAGCAAGGAGTCTATATTCATTTCATGTTGCTATTAAAGGCACCTCCTAAATGCTCCCGTGTCCCCCAAATCACTCAGGTTCTTTTGTCATTTGCTTCATCTTTGCAATTATGGAAGACATCACCAACCAGGTGTGGAGTAATAATAGTTGTCTACTGCTTTAAAGGTATTTGTAATTGCCATAGCAACAGGTTATGCATGGCTCGGATTCCTGTAGTAGTTTCTAGTTAATTTCATGTTGCAACTTCTGCCTTTGCCTCCTTCAAACTCTAAGTGCCCACCTCTCTCATAGAAATAGAAGAAATCTATTTCTTTTCACATACTTACTGATCTTTGACGAGCTACAGAACTTGTAGAAGCAATCCCTTCCTTTTAGTAAAAGGATTCTAGGTCCTCCCCAGCAATCCAGTAGATCAAAGCAGGTGATAGAAATTCCTAAAATCTCAGCTTAGGTGCTCTGAGCACTGCACATACCATATATAGAAGCAGGGGAAAGGATATTCCTAATTTAACCCAAATTTTCTTCTGGATACTTATCAGTACAAGCTGTGTGTTTTGTAGTTTGAGATAATACAATAGATCTGATTGCAAAGGCAAACACAGTTATTCTATCGTCTCATTTAATTATCTCAGTAGCCCCATGGGAAACTTTTTATTACCTACTTTTAAAGAAGGAAACCAGTTCTGAAAGCCTGGAGGGTGAGTCCAAGGTCACCTCCAGGACTCAGTCCTACTCATGGGACAAACTTGTACAGGATGGAAAGTGGCCGTGTTCCTAATGAATGCATCTACTGACCATGAGGCTGGGGGCTGGGAGGGGTGAGGAGCAGGAGCGGGAGAGGGAGGGAGGCTGGAAAAGAAGTAAGGCAGGAGGGAGGAGAGAAGGGATGCTAACTAATAACCACTCCATTGTGCTTCTCTATATGGCTGTCTTTGTGTTATGTCATTTAAGCAGTGAAGGCCCTTTGTACAACTATTTAAAGATAAAATAATAACAAAATAATAAACAATTTTTAAAACATCATCAGAAAAGAAATGGAAATGAAACCAGAGCAGTTTACCTCCTCCATGTTACATATCTCACAAATACAAGCTGAGTTTTGCCTAGTTTGACAATCTCAGACACCCTCCTTCCTTCCCTCCCTCCCAACCTCTCTCTCTCCTACCCTCTTCCCCTTCCCTCTTCTCTCTCTCTCTCTCTCTCTCTCTCTCTCTTTCTTTCTCTCTCTCGGTCCTGGAGCTTGAACTTAAGGCTCAGAACTAACCTCAGGACCAGTTTTGTGCTTAAGATAAGAACTCTACCACTTGAGCCAGACCTCCACTTCCAGCTTTTTGGTAGTTAATTGGAGAGAAGAGTCTCAAGAACTTTCCCACCCAGGCTGGCTTCAAAGGGCAATCCTCAGATCTCAGCCTTCTGAGTAGCTAGGGTAACAGGCATGAGCCACCAGTGCGTGGCTTACCCCAGACTTTCTGACCTACAATCCATAAGCTTCTCACCGCATCTGTTATTTTGGTGGTGCATTTGTGCACAGGCACAGGCAGACAGCAAAGAGAAGCTCTCTGCTCTAGAAAGTCTGGTGTCTGGAAAGCACACACCCAGTCCTTCTCATCCCGTGGGCCTCCTTCCCTAGCTCTGTGAGGCCCAGCTGACAAGCCATTCTCTTCTGCTCCCCACAGGATGTGTATTGGTGGTATCTGTGATTGAACAGCTCGCACAAGTTCACAACTCCACTGTCCAGGCTTCAATGGAGAGACTATGTGGCTATCTTCCAGGTAAGTCCTGCTGCTCATCTTCCATCTTCCCACCTATGAGTTATCATGAGTGAGCTAACACCCAGTACAAACTCATGGAGACGGTGATGTTATTTTTATGGATGATATTCCTATGAGGATCAGATAAAATAAAATAAAAAAGTCCACTCGAGGCAGTTTTTCCTGACCTCAATTCTTCATCAGAGTAGAGAATTGCTATTGACATTTAGGGAAGAAAATGTTTAATGGCCAAATGTCATTTTATGTGTCACATTAATAATGATTCGTCCACTTGGTGATCATTGCCTTAAGTACTACAGAGTCAAAACAATGAATAATTTTCAACAATTGGATGCTAACTTGTATATAAATTCCCAGCCTACCAGCACAGACATTGCTATAGGCTAAGAAGACAATTCATCTCCAGACCCCAAAGGGGAAAGTAATCTGGACCATCCCATTGATTTCAGTTAGGTCTCAATAAAGTCTCTTGTCCATCTTGCAAAACAAAGAACTAATCAATGGCTCAAACAAGCTTTATGTTTGTGTTTCAGTCTCAGTAGAAAGAAAATATTTTTTATTTTATTTGTGAAGATACTGTACAGAGGGGTTACAGTTACATGGGCAGGATAATGCGTACATTTCTTACCAAGCATTGCAGCCTCCTCCTTTTGTTTACCCTTCACATCCCTTCCCAGCCTCCCCCCT